CCAGAGATGGTACAACCTTTCCACTTCTTTCCCTTGTCTAAATCCTTATGACATAAACTGGAAATTGGCATGGATTTGGCCTCGAACAGGACCATCTCTCTACTTAACGCATCATACGTGATTGTGGTTAATTAGGTCTTCTCAAAGAAATGCCCTCGTGAGGGCTTTGGCATGGCACGGTAGAACAAGTTAACTAATTGGGTCTCGGTGACCCCGTGGTCTGGGATGGCTACCAGATCATCCATAACTTCCTTGAGTGCTCTCGCACTCTTCCACTGTCGTGAGTGGATTGTTTGCAGTTTGTCAGAGGCCCTAACGCCTCACGTGACGTCAGCGAACCTCTCCCTCAGGAGTTTGAGGAATTTGGGAAGAGGGGTGAGTTTGAAGTATGCAACCATATTTTTTTCACAATCGTTCCTCGCACGAGGGACCTAGCAAAACTAGCCGCTTCGTCTTGTAATGCATGGAAGGCCACGATGACTTGTTCCTCTGGCGCTATTTGTTGCAAGTACACGTATATGTTGATACTGGCCTCCCAGTTATCAAGTTTTCGTCCTTTTGCCTGCCATAAGAGTCAGGAAACTTGAGCTTGACAGACTCTTTGCGGGGACGCCCTTCACTCTCTGCAGCGGCCACTACTTTGGCGCCTTCAATGGCACCTGCACATAATTTCTCTGCGTTGTCCCTTAACTTTCTGACTTCGGTGGCAGGCAGGGGCAGGTAGGGGGTGGGGAAAAGATAAATAATACAGGTATGGGCGGCCAATGAAAAAAAAAACACAATGGTATGGACGGGTATGGGTGGTAAAAAACAAATTCAGATGGGTACGGGGGGGTAGCAGTTTCTCTCGGGTAACCGTATCACGTAGTGCATCTAAATTTCTAGAACCAACCCCCTCCCCCCCTTCCCCCTCCCCTTGCCCCCATTCCCCAGTGCTTTTGAGAATATGCAGACCGGGCCACGCAAAAATTTTCTGAGGCTGCGCCGCCGCGCCAAGGCCTACAAAAAATTTGGTGGGAATTCCTCCCACCGAGCTCGAATCGTCCTCGGGAGGCCACTACTCCACTGTCCACCTTGGTGCAGCCCGCCCTCATTCCGCCCGTTGTTGTCCTCCCCCCCCGCCGGTTGTTGGTTCGCAATCCTTCCACCATCCTCCCGCCCGTTGTTGGGTCCCAAGCCGTCGCCGTCACGGTTGTCCCCGCCCGTTGTTCGTCGACTCGTGGCCTGTTGTTGGTCTTCCTACATGGCCTTCGTCATTACAGGAGTGATCACCCAGGACTCAGCAGGAGGCATGAGGAGCGGCAGCAGTAGCATGAGGAGTGACAGCAGCGGCATCAGGCGTGAGGCACACTCACAGTAGCATGAGGAGTGGCAGCACTCAGCAGTAGCATGAGGAGCGGCAGCAGGCGTGACGCGCCGTGAAGAGGCGGCAAGAGTCGACGAGGTCGACAGCTAAGGTGGGTAACTACCAGCCTCTCTCTCTCTCTCTCTCTCTCTCTCTCTCTCTCTCTCTCTCTCTCTCTCTCTCGCTCGCTCGCTCGCTCGCTCTCTCTTTCTCCCCCCCTCCCTCCCTCCCTCCCTCACTCCCTCCCTCTGTCTTTTTGTGTTTTTTTTCTTTTTTTTTTCTTTTCTGTGATATCGAAAGTGGCAGCACTCAACGATTGACGCATGTCATCCTTGCGCAGGGGCCATGCTAATCTTCTTTCCATCAGTCCCGATTGCAACTGATGTGCAGCAACGACGGCTTGAACGGCCTCGCTCCCTCCGTCCTCCCTACTCCCTCTCTCTCTCTCTCTCTCTCTCTCTCTCTCTCTCTCTCTCCATCTTCTTGACAATGTGTTTTTTTGTTTTTTTCGATCGAATCTGGCTCTTTGACAACTCTGTGACTTCTCTCTCTCTCTCTCTCTTTCTCTCTCTCTCTTTCTCTCTCTCTCTCTCTCGCCATCTTTTTTTTTTTTTTTTTTTTTTTTTTTTTTTTCGGGCTTCCACGGCTTGTCGTTCGTCGGAGTCATACGTGTCATCCGCAGAGGGACCATACTTATCTTCTCTGTATCGATCCAATCTCTCTCTCTCTCTCTCTCTCTCTCTCTCTCTCTCTCTCTCTCTCTCCGTTTTTTTTGTGTTTACTTGTTTTGTTTTTTTCTTTTGTACTTCCAAGATCCCATAATTCGGTGATTGACATGTGTCATTATTCGGCACGGGCCATGCCAATCTTCCTTCCATCCGCTCCAATGGGAATCCCCCCCCCCTTTTTATTTTTTCGATTTCCCCCCCCTCCATTCGCGATCGTCCTCCATCCTTCCATCCCCCTTCCTCCTTTCTCCATCTTCCTCCATCAGGCCACCCATCCCCCGTTCCTCCTTCCCTCCATCTCCGTCCCGTCATCTTCCCATTCGCCATTCCTCCTTCCTCCATTTGTCGTTCTCCTCCCTCCTCTACTCCCGATAACTCCTTCTTACTCCATTGTCCATCCGCCGTTCCTCCCTCCTCCACCCGCCATTCGGCTGGCAGACTCGGCGTTTCCGCAGGGCGCCAGACTGTGTAGTTATTTTTTCTTTTTTTGAAAGGGCGACGGTCTTGAGATATCATCTTTGAGCTGACCGGCCCCAAGCATTGCAGGCAATTCAAAAATATTTCGTCTTACTCATCAAGTTCCATCATCTAGGTTTAAACACGGGTCTATATTTCAACAGTTCAATGTTGTACCCACTGAGCTAGGCTCTTGGGTGGCTGTGTAGGTTTTTTATTCCTCTGTTTTTTTTTGTTTTTTTTTTTGTAAGTTTTTGTATTCGTCAGTGATTCCTGAGGGCATAATAAACACGCTACACCTTTTGTGGTGGATGTAGCCAATCACAATCATGGACCACATTCTCTCTCTCTCTCTCTCTCTCTCTCTCTCTGTGTGTGTGTGTGTGTGTGTGTGTGTGTGTGTGTGTGTGTGTGTGTGTGTGTGTTGCTTTCGTACAAAATCGGTTAGGGTAGGACAATTTTGTTGAACTTGACTGCCACAGTGATCTCTCTCTCTCTCTCTCTCTCTCTCTCTTTCTTCTGTGTGTGTGTGTGTTGCTTTCTTGCAAAAACGATTAGTAGACTTTGAGTTTGGAAAGGCAAAAAAACACAAAATAGCTCTTTCGTCACGACCACAGTTTCGAGTGTATTTCATATTTTCAATCTTGCATGAGGATTTCGAAATTCCTGTTGTTTTTTTTTTTTTTCCAAATTGCCTGCTTTACCTTCATGTCGAGGAAGTAGGAGTGACGTGAAGGGCAACTTGCGTCTAAGTGTAATCCTGACCTTTTGTGTGAGGTCTTGGGCTTTTATTATGAAGCAATCTATGCCCCTTTTTTTGGTTGGTTCTGATTCTGCGTTATTAGGTGCGAGCATGGACTATGCTTAAGCAGAATCAGTTTTATCGAGTCTGTAAACTGTGGCACTACAAAGTAAATAAAGCGAATTGGCATGAGGTAGATCTTGGTTGCTTGATTATCGTTTCCTATGCATGATCATGGCCAATAAACTCAGGGGCCATGCGAATCTTCTTTGTATTGTTCCAATTTCGACGGATGTCTGCAAGGTGTCGGTGGCTTGACTGCAGCCCTATGCCTGCATATCCAGTGTTGTGACTATTGTCGTTTTGGTGCAGGTTCCAACAACGACGCCAAAGCACCTGCTGCTGGAGTTCAAGAGACAGTGAGACACTTCCCGGATGTGTGTGTGTGTGTGTGTGTGTGTGTGTGTGTGTGTGTGTGTGTGTGTGAGAGAGAGAGAGAGAGAGAGAAAGAGAGACATCTTAAATGAACCATCATTGGGTTTAGGACCATGCTTGGATGGACCAGGGTCCTGGGACCTTGGATGTTTTTCCAACAATGTTTTTAATGAACCATGCCTTAGCTTCTTCAACAGTGTTTTAAATGAGTCGTGCTTGGGCTTTTTCAGCAGTGTTTTAAATGAGCCATGATCGAGCTTAGGTCGACGTTTGGATGGACTTGGGACCAGGTTTGGATTTTTATTTTTTATGTTTGTTTAACTTCCATTTTAAACCATTAGTACTTCCGCCGGTATTGGGGGCAGTATTGGATTTTTGTTTTTTCTAACTTCCATTTTAAACGACTCTGTCGATATGAAGTTCAAATCCACTGCAGATGAATAATGTTATTATGTTCATCTGATAGTATTTAGATTTGACTTCAGCCTGTATTTCCAGTTTCAACAGTTCAGCGTTATAGCAATTGAGTCAGGCCCGTTGGTGTCAGGCTCTGGTACCGGTTTGGAATCCACCCCATTGGACTGATAAATACCTCTCAATGGAGCTTGTTGTGCATGAGGGCATTGAGGGGTTTGGGTCATCGGATGAGTTAGACCGCTCTGATCCCAAACGGAAAAGTGTGCAAGAGGAGCCGAAAGCGAGCACTGGGATTGCATCATCTTCTGCAACGGCCCCTGATATGAAACAGTTTAAAGTGCTCGTTCAGATAGCCCTTAAAAAAGGAGGAACCAACCCTCCTTTTATCTTGAAAGATGAGAAGGACAACATTTCTGACTGTTGGAAATCCTTTGCCCATGTGTATTCCGCTGACGGAGCTCCTGTTCGAGAGCATGGCAACGGATATATAGCATGTAAACGATGTTTTAGAGTTTATGCTTTCACCACCTCGCACGGGACAAGCACCCTGCGACAACACACATGTCGCAAGGAACCAGAAGGAGCAGGCCTCATGTGCTTGTTTGCCACGTCCGCCGAACCCACAGCAGCACAAAAAGACAAGATGGCTAAGAAAATCGCCATGTGGTGCTGCAAAGATTTGCGCCTCTTCACCGTGGTAGGCGATGAGGGTTTTGTGGAGATTGTGCAGGAAGCCTACGACCTAAGGGGAAGCTGTCGGCAAGGCCATGCAGATGAGGAACGTGTTGCCTGTCCCCAACACAGTCAAACGCCATGTTGTTGGACAGCCTCCTCCATCCGTGAAAAGGTGAAGGAAATGGTGAAGGACCATTTCAATGACGGTGTGCATGCGGGATTTATAGCAGACATGTGGACCGACGAAGCAAAAAAAAAACCGTTCATGTCTGTGACCATGCACTACATCGACAATGCTTTTAAATTGCACGCACGCTAAAAGCGTTCCATGAGGAATCGCACACAGGGCCTGCGATTCTCAAATGATTTCACGACTGCTTTCAAGAGTTCAGCTACAAAGATGCAGCCCAATGTGTAGTGCGCACTGATAGCGGGTCGAATATGGCCGCGACAGAAGGGATTCGCAAAGTCTATAAGTGGATACCATGTTCCGATCACAAGATTGCAACTGTCCTGAGGACAGTATTCAACAAAACCACAACAACAACAGATGGAGACAGGTCTGCACCTTTTTATAGGTATCATGAATTTGCACCGCATCTGTTCGAAATGATCGACAACTGTAAAGAGTTGGTGCGATATTTCGAACAGGTCAACTTGCAGAACACTTTAAATAAAACATTGAAGCAGGAAAATGCGACCCGGTGAAATTCGTTGTTCATTTCTCTGAACAGCGTTTTGGACAGTTATGATGATGTGGCAAATGTCCTCGCCAGGCTGGCCAATACCAATCGGCAAGCCAATAAACAGTTCCTCATCACGAGGATTGATAAAAACTCGCTCGCAGAACTGACACAGTTTTTGAAACGGTTCCACACCGCGACCCTGAAGTTTGAGCAATACCTGGAACCAACACTGCACCTTGTGGCATTCGAGCACAGAGCTCTGTTGGAGTATTGCAAACCACGTAATCAGCCATGCAACGGTGAGGATGACGAAGGTAAGAAGTTCATCGTCCCATCAGACTCAGACCACATCATAGTTGGTAAGACGTTGATCAGTGATGTGTTGAAGAACAAATAGATATTGCATGACCTCCATATTGTTGCAGCTTTGCTTGATCCTCGACAGAAAAACAGGTTGGACCGTTTTGGTCTGTTTGAAACTCAGGTTGATTGAGGAAGGAATTGCTTGCAGAAGATTATGCTTAGTGTTAAGGATGGGAACAACGAGTCAACTGAGGCGCCTGCTGCATCCGAGGTGAAGCGGCCAGCGAAGCGAAGGAAGAAAAAGTCTGCGAGAGAGATCCCCGATGGGTTAACATTGTGCAGCACGGATGAAGAGGAGGAGGAGGATCTGCCCATTGCTCGCACAAGGCCACTGACCCTTGCACAACGCATTAATAAGGAGTTGGAGTTCTACTTCAGTTTGAAACTGACAAAAAAAGAGAAAAAGAAGTTTGACATACTAGTGTGGTAGAAGGCAAAGGGGAGTGTGCGAAAAATGCAGAGGATCAATTGCTGCTCCAACTTTTGTCAATCATAGCGCGTGCTGCACGTGTTGTCTTGTGTGTTCCTGCGTCGAGTTCCAAGAGTGAGTGCAACTTCTCGGACGCATGAAACACTATGACAAAAAAAAAAAAACAGTTAAATCCGTCTGTTGTGGATGATGTGCTCGTTGTCCAGTCCAACTGCGACCTGGTTGGGAAGACCGACACATGAGTGTCTTTGGTTTACAGGTTACTGGCTTCCTGCGATATGCTCTTTTTTATTTTGGTTTAGCGACTTTTTTTTTTCCTTGCGTCCGTCGAGCGGTAAGTAGGATGATGTGTTGTTTAGAGTCAACTGCAGACTTCAGCACTTCGGCTGATCCATTTGACAACAGAAAGCATTTTCAAAGGCAATGGTTTAATTTTAATTTTAGATAGGAACATAGGAACAATGACGAAATGTTATGGATTTATAATATAGTCCAGAAAGCGCAGACTTTTAACAGACATGGGATAAAAACTTAGCAAGTTTTGTTCTGCATGATCTGCAAAATTTGTTTCAACACTTTTGTTCTTTTTCACCTTTTCATAGGGATAAACTTTTATTGGTGTCAATAATTTAATGTATGAGTGAACTTTATCTCTTTTTCAAACTCCTACGTCAATGAAGCATGTGTGTTTTTCTTGTTGTTCCGATCTGCTCTTCTTACGGAATTTGAAGTATGATTTTTGGAGGTCTGTTTTTTGGAGTATTTCCTAACAGAGCAGGTATGTTTTTCATATTTTTTCCGCTGGTTGTTAAGAGGTGCTCGTTTTAGGAAAATTGAGGTATGACTCTACAAGTAATGATCATTTGACTTGTGTAGCACACCGAACATGTTCGGCGCCCCACCAAGCAACCGAACATGTTTGGACGCTCGGCTGACACATGTTCGGCCGAGCGCAAAATAGGGGGTTGTCGAGCGCGTCCTCATGTGTGTGTGGTGTGTGGAGTGTGTGTGGAGTGCCTATGGGGTGTGCGTGTGTGGTGTGTGTGTGTGTGTGTGTGTGTGTGTGTGTGTATGTTCAGGAGTGATGAGCAATGCCCCTCACGCCCCCCCCCCTATATAAAAAAAAAAAAAAAATCGGGCTCGGTCTATTTTGGGCAATGTTCGAGCTCGGTACCAAGCGTCCGGGTTCAGTCACTGAGCCCGGGTACGATGCTACTCAGCATTTGACTATAATTATTGATTCAATGATACACATGTATAATTTTGAAAGAAAGATTCAAAGCAAGAATGCTACTCAGCATTTGTCATCAGGAATGTAATACTCGTCATCAAATAGGGGCAAGGGACACTTAGGGGTGGTTAGGAGCGATTAAGGGCAATTAGGGGTGGTTAGGGGCGGTTAGGGAAGGGTGGGTTATAGGTGCGGGCGGGCATGGGCGGGTGCATACAGTTGTGGGTGGGACCGGCGGGTATGGGTGGGCACGGGTAACGAAAACATCACCTGGGTAGGGTACGGGTGGTTAACAAACGGTTTGGGTTCAGGTGGGTATGGGTGGTTAAAAAAAAAATTGTCCACGGGTGGGTATGGGGCCTATGGGCAGTTACATTCCGAAGAGGTCCTAGGTAGGATGGGTACAAGTACATATTTTTTACTTTTCAAGCAGGTACGGCTAGGTAAGGGTCTAATTGGTCAGGTATAGGGTGGGTATGGGTGGTTGGTTTTTAAAGGTGGTGTGGTCAGGTATGGTACAGGTATTCCTAAAATTCCTGGTTGCGATCACTGCCGCCAGCTGGTGCACGACCACTTCTAGATCGAAGTGGACAATCCAGACTGCATCACAGTTGTGGCGTTGTAGTGGACTAACAAGCACATAATTCTAAAAAATAAGGTATTGCAGTTCAAAGGCAAACATGTGCAAGTGGTCTCATGGTCGCCGACCAACCTGCAATCCAGTGATGAGCAAAGGGAACACCTGATGAATTCAAATTTCTAGGTGGAATTTTGATTTGCACCTCTCTGCGTGCAGGGTGCGATCCTCACAGATCTAAAAAACATCGCCCATGTTAAAGGGTACATCACGGACCTACCCCAATTCCTGGGGAAGCGTGAAGACTCTCTATTGGTGGCAGTAGACTGGGATAAATCATACCCCTTCCCCCTGAATGAAGAATCGAGATATTCCCAAGGTGGCAAGGAATTCTAGGTCCCTGTCAGCCATACGCAGGATCCGTGGTGTTACGCATGCAAAGCAAGGGGCCACCTATGCACCGATGACCAGTGCTCGAACAATTACAAAACGAAAATCAGAGGATTGGTTACCCCCCACGCGATGGATGAAGAGAGATGGTTCCCTGAAGAGAAGGACCTTGAGGGCTGGATGTTCAGAGCATATGCAGATGGCCGCCCCGGGAAATGGTTTTGGCAAGGGAAAGGCCAACCATCAGTTTTTCCGTCAGGAGCGAGGGTGGTAATTAACGATGATTACAAGCAGAAAGGCAAAAAGGGGGCCACCCCAGATCCATCGGAACAGGGTGCTAGGTGCGGCCGATCTATGTGGAAGCCCATGACAAACACTAACATAACAGGAAGATGGGAAAGGACAGTGGGAAACAGCACAAAACACCCAAACACATCTGATGCACAGCAAGACAAGCGAACCGCAAGCAACACAGGTCTGCCTCAGCTCCATGCCCAACGACTATACAAACCAAAGCGACAGCGAGGAATAATTGAGTCGACCCCCGAACCCCCCTCCTCGTCCGAGGAGGATAACCAGCCTACCACTGTGGAGAACAGTCATCCTATTCAGCCGGGTGCGGGTGTCCGTAATCCCTCCGCCAACGCGAAGGTGCAACCTACCGCCTCCTCTCATGCCCCCCAAAGTGACAATCAGCCTGCCTTTGAGGAAGTAATGCCCTTGGATGCAGGACCGGCGGATACAGGAGGCGATAAGGATGCCACCCTGAGGGCAACAACGCCTCTACACAAACGATCTGAACTGCACCTGCAGAGGGGGACAGGTTCTGAAAAGTCTGGAAACACTGAGCACACCGAGCAGTATGTAGCACCAGGATCAGAAAAACCCACTCCCGGACCTGGCAAAGGACAGGCCCAGCAGCCACTTGCCCATAAACAGAAGAGTGCAGCTCAAGCCAGGTTGGTGCAAGGAAGAGGGCGAGACAACAATACAGCTCCCGTGATTATGGTACTACCCACCCCTTCCCCCCCAGCTCCCGGAGGTGACAAAAAACTTGTCTTTGAGGGGGGTGAACCACCTGGCAAAGGACTGCATGGAGGAGGTGGGGACTGCAATGACACTGCCTTTCCGGGATCAACAGTACCATCTCCCGACGTCGGGACAGGGCAGACAACCACAGTCCCCGCAACACAGGGGAGCAGTTCGGGACTCGGCTGAGCAACCAAGGGGGAGAGATGGTATTTCTCCTGTCAAGGCAAAGACGTCACCTGCCCCTCTCCCCCCTATACCGGGGGTTACAAACAGCCCATTTCCGGAGTGGGCAAAGCACTTGATCCAGGAACACATGAACGACGAGGTAACAACAATGTCAATGTCCTCACAAAGATAATGACTGAGCACACCCAGCAACCGGTTGCACCAAAAGCGGCAGGGTCATCCATTAAAGGAGGGACAAAACAGGTACAACAACCCCCCACGCTCTGACAGAGAGCCATGCAGGTCCAGCAACCGGCACTCTTGGAGCCAGCCAAATCCTCTCCAAAAATGCAGGGTGGGCAGACAGCTCCCCCCAAGGCACCGCAATTGATGACGAGCGACCCGGGAATTACTCGCACGTCCCTGGGCTTAGAAAAGACCGTCCACAACATCCTAGCGGTGGCACAAACGGGAAGCATTAATGTAATGAGGGATGGGATCACAAACTCTATGAAAACGCAGCAAGTCTGTCTGAAAGCCAACTCGCTCCTTAACAAAATAAAGGACGCTGCATTTTCCCAACATTGGGAAATGCCTCGGCTTAATGCTCGAGCATCAGAATCTTCCCCACACATCCACTGGAACGCTATGCCCACACCACAAGACAGCCCGCCCGGATTAGAACAGGATGCACTGGGTCAATCGACAGCGGCACAACAGTCCCAGTCCATGCAGCTGCAACAGTCTCAACCTTCACAACAGAGCAATGGGGGATCACAGGAGGATCGATTGGAGAAGTCGCAACTCCGAAATCTTCACCTGCAATTGTCCCGCCTCTGCTGAGCAGCCAACAACAGATCCAGGACTGCCTCACACCTGAACTGCAGGGTCCATCAACACACCAGCAGCATCAGCACCAGCCACTGCAAGAGGTACGGCAGCTACACCATCAGCAGTTGCCACACCGCCAGGATGTCCGACATGTGCCACCTCAACCTGAGCAAATAGACAGGATGCTAATTCAGCAGGACCATTACCTGTGTCAGGGCCGAGATCAGGACGAGGGGCAACTCCCAAAGAAGGTCCAACAGGAGCAACAACAAAGCCTGAAACTCCAGCAGGCCCAACTACAGCACCAACACATGATGCAGACACAACAGAGGCACCAACCACAAGGCCAGACGCACCAAATCCAACAGCAAGAGGATCTACAACACCAGCAGATGCTCCAGCACCAACAACAATTACAACTGGCCCAGATCGAAAACCACATACAGCTGCAACAACAAACCCAATCGCACTACCCGCAGCGGCAGGAGCAGCTGCAACAGCAATTACTGCTCCCGCAACATCAAAAGTTCCAGTCCGCACAAACTCAACAACATGAACAACTGCTGCAACAACATATTCAGCGCATGCACCAAACCCAATTGCAGACTCAGCAACAACAACAACAACACAGCCTTCAAAGGAGAGAGTGTGAAAAACACGTTCATCTCCTGCTGCAAGCTTAGTTGGCGCAATACCACCACCAGCAGTACCAAGACAGACAGGCATAGCAGCAACGCACCCTGCAACATTTGCACCTGCAATGGCAGCATCAGTTGTGTTCCCAACAACAACAAATTCTGCAGCAACAACGACACCAGCTACAGATTTTCAGACAGCAAGAAGTGGAGAGACAAAGGGTACAGCAACAGCAAATACAATACCAGTCTGAACACCCGTATCTTGTCCTCCCAGGCTGGTATGAGGAAGGGTAGAAGGCTAAAAGCCATAGGACATGGACACCTCCGCCCCCCTACTGGAGCCTCCATCACCGATGTAGCAGCAAGCACGGCCCGTGGATATGGAGGTGGAGATAGCCCCACCAATGAGCCCCCCGTCGGACCAAGGTAGCCCCCCACCTTTTACAGCCAATGATGAGGTCAAGTAAAAACTGACATTCCTCACAGATTGGACCCTCACGAAGATATTCTCCCAAACGGATGACAAATCGGAAAACAAATTGAACAATGGTTATTGGGGACAGGCCAAAAGGTTACTGATGTACAACCCTCAGGTGTTGGCCATAGTGGAGAAATATAATGCTATCTCATCCATTGATTGGATGGATGTGGGTGCTGCTATAGTCCTTGTGGTAAATGACTTCCTGGATAAAATTGAAAATTATGCAAACACCCGCTGGGGTGGAGTTGCACAAGAGACTCGATGCAACGTAAGCGCCTTGGAGGAAGCCTTTTTCCACGAAGGTTTGGCCTGGCCGAAAGTTCTGGTGCAAGAGTTGTGCGCCACACTTCATACCCTCCCATGAGAACCTCTACATATCAGGGGATCAGAACAGCAACGTAAACAATTTAGCCAGCAACAGGGATGTGCGCTCTAGGATAGTCACCTGGAGGGTCCTCTGCAATCAATGGAGACACAACTGCAGCTACAGCTACTCCCGTCTGGAGAGCTGGGAGAGCGAGAGAAACAAATTCCGAAAGTTGTCTCTCTCCACTCCTCCCAACTGCGCATCCGGATGACTGAAATACTGCATAATATGATGAGACCACACAACCTGTGTTGGACGATGACCTCATCCTACACACCCCTCCTAAAAAGTTTCGCGAACTGGTTAGGCTTATGGAGGATGACACTGCCCCAATGTCATTGCCACCAGGAATGGTCATTTTTTTGTTCACACGAAAAAACGGGGAAGGGGAGTGGTTCCTTGGTCTTAGATCACCTACGGCTGGCGTCCAACATTCCTCCCGACTTAAGTCTGACACACTCCAACCTGGTTTCACCGTGGAAGGGTGGAGGGGTTCTCCATTTACTGCTGTCATTCTGAAACATCTGAAATGTTGGATCGGAGAAACTAAACACTGAAGATGTTATAGGGGTTGTGCTACCTGACACGCTTTCTTTTCCGAAGAGTATCACCCCGGTCCTACTGCTGCTGGATCCCAAAGCCAAGACCCTCAAAACTGGCTTGACCCTCAGATGGTTCACACATCCGCAGTCGCTAGAAATGTCCACAGCACGCTTTAGGACTAACTTTGAGTGGACTCTCAGCGGGGTTCTCCTTTTTATGCAGATCTTTCTGGACAACGTGCTGGAGAAGCACAACCACTGGGATCACCCTACGTCTCTGCTTTCGCTTAAAAACATATTTTAGGCGAAAATCAGAACTGGGAAAATTGGACGAAAATGAATTCATCAAGCACAATGCAAAATTCTAGAGGAGGACATCAGCCCAAGGACCTGCCAGCAGGACACGCCCCTGCTCTACTCTGAGTCCAAGTCCAACCGCCCCCCCAAACAGGGACAGTAAATCCACCCCATCATTCGCAAGCCCCTCCACCCAGCGTGCATCCCCGATCACCCCTGGTTTTATCGGGATATGGTTAACTGACGTGTAAATATTTGGTATTTCTATAAAGAAGATTCGGTGCACAAGTATTAAAAAGAGTACGATCATCCTCAACCACTTACCCCATCCCCCCCTTTCGCCGAAGAAAACTGCTATTTGTTTTCTTCTTTTATTTGCTCACTTAGTCTTTTTTTTGTCGTCCTCAACCACTTACCCCATACCCCCCTTTCGCCGAAGAATAATGTCATTTGTTTTCTTTTTTTTCTTTGCTCACTTAGTCTTTTTTTTCTTGGTCCTCAACCACTTACCCCATCCCCCCCTTTCGTCGAAGAATACTGCTATTTGTTTTTTGTTTTTTCTTTGTTCACTTAGTTTTTTTTCTCGTCCTCAACTTACCACATTCCCCCCTGTCGTCGAAGAATAGTGCTATTCGTTTTCTTTTTTTTCTTTGCTCACTTACTCTTTTTTTTCTTGGTCCTCAACCACTTACCCTACCCCTCCCTTTCGCCGAAAAATACTGTTGTTTGTTTTCTTTTTCTTCTTTGCCCACTTAGTTTTTTTTTCTCGTCCTCAACTACTT